CATCGGCTCGTCTGCGAAGGAGAGATTGCTGCTGCCTCTGCTGAACAGGATCCCCAGGGCGCATCCTCAGCGCGGAGGCCTAGTTCCGCATCGCTTCTTCGGGCTCTTGAATGGAAGGCCTCTATGTGGGCTCCGTTCTCGAAGAGTTTCATCCTGTCCGCGGTCAGCACCCCTGAGGGCCCCGTCGCAGATTCCCCGGAGAGAACCTCGGCCCTCACGGCCTACTGGACCCCAGTGTTCGCCAAGAAGGAGCCCCAGACAGCCTTTACTCAGAAGTGCCTCGATCGGTTCCTCACGAAGGCCTCCCATATCAACATCCAGAGCCCGCTGACCCCCCATGTTCAGGAAGGTGCTGACGCGGGCCAAGCACTCGGCCCCCGGGGTGGACGGGCCCCCGCATGCAGCGCGGTTGGCGTGTGACTATGGTGCTCATCATCTGGCCCGTATGTTTGGGTGGCTATGCCAAGGACAATCCTTATATGCGTCTGCTAATGTGACCCTCCAGGCCTTCCTCCCTAAGGGCTCCGCTGCGGCTGACCCACCTTCCAGGTTATGTGCCCGACCTCCTGACAGATGCCGCGTTCTTGGATTAAGAAACACTGATGTAAAGGTTCTTAGCTCTGTCATGAATCGCATCCTCGAGCCAGTCGCCCAGGCGGTTACCCCTGCGTCGCAGCGAGGCTTTATCAGAGGACGGAACTTTTGCCATAGCGTGCTCGAGTTGGATGTGCATGCTCGTCTTGCCTCGCAGCATCCTCTCGCCTCTCGGCGCTCTCCCATCCTGGTCGGCTTCGATAGTGGGCAGGTCTTTGCCAGTCTCTCCCAATCCTTCCTGCTCCAGCTGCTGGGCTCACTCGGGTTGCCAGACGAGATTATTGCCGTCATCCTGGGTGTATCTAGCAGTGGAAGGTGTCATAGCTGATGGGGGTCAGTATGCTACAATATTCTGGGTCAGGTCTGGGAATCTCCAGGGATGTGGATTGTCTGGATCTCTCTACGCTGTGTCCTCCTCTCCCATGCTTGCCGATCTCGAGCGCAATGTCGAACGCCGCTCGGTAGGGCTATGTCGCGCGTGTGCTGACGACCTCGGTGCAGTTTTGTATGAGACGGCTTCGCTTAAGATTATGGTCCGCGCCCTCGGCGCGATGCAAAAGACCGCCGGCCTGCGCATTAAGATAAGCAAGTGCACTCTCGTCCCTCTCGTCGGTAAGATTGCGGATGCGCTTCGTACCATGACACAGGCTCAGCGATCGCAGATTTCCTGGGAGTGGGGAGGCCTCTCGATCGAGGGGTGGATGGTGTACCTTGGCATGATTCTGGGCCCCGAGGCCACGGTCGACATGTGCCGGGACGCCGCGCTGGGGAAGGCTCGCACACGAGCGCGCATGTCGGGGAGGGGGGCGGCTGCTGTCAGCACGAACTGCATATTGTATCTTACCCGTGTGTACCCGTGTCTGTCCTATATAGCCCAGTTCATCCCGATGCACGAGTGATTTCTCCCGATCGAGCGTGGTGCGGTATCTCAGGTGCTACGTGTTCCGCTTGGTCTCTTTTCGAACGGATCGATTCTGGAGCTTCCGTCTTGGGGGGGGGGGCGCTGCTTCTATCGTGGGCTGCGCAATATACTGCCGCTCTGCGTCGGGCTGCCACGCGTGCATTCGATGGCCATGGCAACTACCTGCAGCTCCTTCGCAGTACGGCCATACGATGGCAACGTGAGAATGACGATGGCCACTTCGACCTCGCTCCGTTATCATGTGTGGACCGTACTTGGCTTTATCACAAGTTTTGGAAGTCTCCTGCATTCGTCGAACATCTCGAGTTGATCCAAGTCTCTCCCCAGGATGAGGTTATATGCGGAGCCCGCCAGGCCCTCCAGGACGAGGCAGCGGCCACCACGAGAAAGCCCAAACTGCAGCGTGCAGTAGCGCGCTATCTTGGCTCGCAGATGTGCGCGCACTCTCCCTTATCACACATGCTGAAGCGGAACCTGGTCCCGCTTTTCACTGACTGCCACCCGTTTCTGGATCAGGTTCTCTGGCCACAACTCCGTGAACTACTATGCCTCGTCCCACAGAGTTGGGCCATGTCTGCCTTGCGAACTTGGGGTGACTGATGGCTCACGTCTCATCGCATCATCCACCAGCAGGCAAGTTACTATGCCGCTTTGGGTGCCAACGTCCTGACCATCTTCTGCACTATGCACGCTGCCTTATCCTGCACCGAGCCGTCGGCCTGGGTCTTCAACGGTCCCTCCCCCGTGCCCTCCCTGAGCGTTGGGGCCTGACTCAACCGCGGCCTCGTCATCTGGAATACCTCTATGTTATGTACCAGACTTACAACCTAGCCCGTCTCGGCTCGGCTATCGTGACACCATCGCAGCTTCGCGGCTACGTCGGAGCTGCCCTCCGCGCCCTTCGCCTGTCTAGGCCGAGCGATCGCTTGCGACAATGGGTGCCGTCACCACCTATTCCAGTACAGCGACGGGTGCAGCATCCACCTGATGTGATCTCCCTTTCGTCCACCTCCGAGCCGAGCTCCAATGGCGGCCCCTCGTCTGGTGCCCTACGACCTGGCCTGGTCCCTTCCGCGCCCCCGGCCGCCGATTGGATCAGCTATTCGCCCCCTCGTATCGGTCGCCCTGCCCCGCCCTGTCACCCGTCGGTCGCCGCTGTGGCTCAGCGGCCGCCTGCTAGCCTGCAGGCCGCGGCCTCGTCGCCTCGGTTGACGCCGGTTGTCTCGCCGACGTCGGCCCCGCCTACGCCTTCCACGCCTATTGCTTCTGCAGTATCGGAGGGCGACGCTGCACCGACGGTTGCGATGCCACTGCAGGCCTTTCGGGCGACTGGCACCCTGATGGCAGTATCAACTGGTGTTGGGGCCCTGCAGATTTCGGTACCTGTCTATCGGTGCCAATTTGGCCGTATTCTTTCCACGACTCCGATGTTGCCTCGTGTCGTTCAGAAGATCCACGCTGGTGACGATGATGGCCCTCATGGCATGCGCTTGCCCCCTGACGAGGTTGACCCCAACGGCCCTCAAGTTGTCTTCGTCCTGTCCGCGGTTCCGAGTGCCTCACGGTGGATGCTGAGGCTGGATATGCCTGATTGTGGCCTCACCGACTGGAGACTCTGGTGCGAGCCGCTCGTTGAAGCCAAGCTTCGTTCTCTTGAATGGGCAGAGGCCGAGAGGCTCCGAACTGGGCGGACATTTGCCGAGATGGCCATCGACATCTGCGCTGCAGCATGGCGTCGCTCGACCGAGCGCCGACACAGCATCGTCCAGTACTTGGGGCGAGTGAAGTCGCACGAGTCGCACGAAGCCTGGGAGCGCGCCGTCACCTGGCACTGGTCTACCCTTCGTCTCTTTCGGCGCGGCATGAGGTCTTACCTGCTCAGGGTTGATGGCCCCGCGGTCCCGCTCGCCATCAGTGAGCACGACGAAGACTCGAATGGCGAGGTGATCCCATCGGTCCACACTGACGGAACTATCCACTACCACGCTCCACGTCCCGATCCCGTGCCAGAGGTGCCGAGCGATGTAGCCAGGGATGCCTCAGCTAGCAGTGATGATGTGATCTCGCGTCGCCGTCGTTCTGGACTGCTCGCATATGGACCTTCTCATGTACCGCTACCTTTTCCGCGCGCTGATGGCGATGAGGTGCCCTCGCGTCGCCGTCGCACAGGTTTGCCATCCTCTGGGCCTGCACCTGCTCCGTCATTGTCACAAATGTCAGAGCGCGAAGGCAGGTGCTCCTCGAGCCTGTCCTTCTCGAGAGTAGATTGTGAGCTGCGTCCGAGCGAGGTCTCGCCCACTGCTGCGCGCGATGGGTCAGAACGCGAAGGCGCGTGCTCCTCGAGCCCGTCCTTCTCTCGAGTAGATTGTGAGCATCACCGGGGCGAGGTCCGCGCTGCTGCCGCGGGTGGACTGTCAGAACGCGAAGGCGGGTGCTCCTCGAGCCCGTCCTGCTCAGGAGTAAGTTGTGAGACCGGTCGGAGCGAGGACTGCGTCGCACCATGCGGAGGATTGTTAGAGCGCGAAGGCAGGTGCTCCTCGAGCCTGCCCTTCACACGAGTAAATTTTGAGCCGGGTCTCGCTCCTGCGGGTGGTGACACGAGACCGACGATTGCCACGCGGGCGAGGATTGCCTCTTCGACGCCGCTGCCACAGTCTGCTGCTCCATTGAGGGCCTCTCCTGCACCACCGATGACCAGTGCATCGAGTTAGATGGCCATCACTTCTGCTGCTATGCGCCTCTCTTCTTTGCACATGATATGATCGACGACACCAACAATGACAGTGCGAAGGGCGAGGGGGCCATTCCCCAGGTTCCGCCTCGGATGCCCCCTTCTGAGCGCTGTCAGGGGCCCCCGTCTCCGATGGGCCCTTCCGAGGTACCCCTCTGGGCCCCTGAGTCCTTCTGTTGGTGGCGGTGCGCGCGGCTCTCCTGCTGGAGGCACTCCTGAGGCTTCCGCTCTCTTGGATGCTCCCGTCGCCCTGTCCTCTGTGGCTCCTGATCGGTGGCCCTCTGCCCCGCTTGAGGCCCTCGGAGTGAGGGAGCATCTGGTCACGCCTTCCCCACAATCGGGGATTGACCTAATACCCGTAACAGGGGTCGGAGGCTGTGTGAGACCAGCGGTGGAAAGCTGTGCTCTTATCTTTTCCCTGCCACCATCGTTTCTTCTACTCGTCCTCTCTCGAGTTCGCCACTTGAGCTGTCTCAGCACTCACGCTTTGCCTGTTCGTTGCCCCTTGATGTGCGTTTCCACCCTCCGTCTTGTCCCTCGCTCCCGATGGTTTCTGCGGGTGTTGCTGCTGCTCCCCGCCCGCTTCCCTCCACCGTCGACGCCACCAGCCCTACGCACGATATAACATCGACTGCGCTGGTCGCGGCCATCGACATGTCGATGGGCGCGAAGGACGCGCCTGGCGCCCCGCCGCAGTAGGTGGGCGGACCCGCGGCCCCCCTCTACGCTCGTCTCCTCCTCCTCCTGCTCCTC